GCAGCAATGAACGATTTGACAAAAACAAGATCCATAATTAAGGTCAATATAAATCTTGTTTTGGTTATTGTAATTAGGTTTTCAAATTCTGTGAGACTACATGACTCTTGGTAGGGCATTCCATAAATGTACTGTGTCGAGTAAAAAGGATTTGGCATAACAGGCAGTTCGACTGTAAATGCCTTGTATTTCAGAGTTATTTCTTAAAACTATAGCTTGTAGTTTCGGAGGCAGGGTAAATCTGACTAGGTAAATTAAAATTTCTTTCAAATGATCATGAAGTTACCTACACAAAGTGTTTAATTTTTAAAGACATTTACCGGAGCATGTTAATCAATTTATCTTATAAAGTTTCATTAAGTTACCTCCAAAAGATTCAGTTACAAAGCAAATCAGTAATTAGCTAGGGTTAATCCATTCTATCAGGCAGGGGTATGGTGTGTTTCTTTCTTTGTTAATTACCTACTCCACTGTCTCATAACTGGGAGTAGACCGATCCCGTTAGTCGCCTCTTACGACAAACATGGGTTACTGAAGATCAATTCCAATCTGAATCTTCACGGGTCCCTTTGCAAAATAACAATATAGTCGACTTGGTAGCAGGTTAGTTTCAAACAGTTACACTATTTCTCTTCATCATATACATGATCGTATACTTAGCTGTTGGCTAATTTGTTGCGTTTCCACTTGTAATTGTTAAAATAGTGAAACAATATCAAGTGCTGAAGTGGAGCTAGGTCAATACCGCCATGTGTCACACACAGCGGTTTGTTCAGAGAGGTCGGATCAATTGTATAGGAAATTATCGTCGTGACCTTTATCATATAGATATGAATTAAGTGTGTTACATTGCTGTAAGTGTGCTTTATGTAAATATTGTTGTTAGACGGTAATGGAAAGATAAATGTTGGATAATGTAACAAAGTAGGGAACGTGACAAGTGATTGCATGCGTAGAAGAGATATATTATATTAATGTATGTACTTCCTGTGGACCTGAAGCAAGCTGGGGTCGGTTGACCGACCGATGACCATGGTGAGTGAGTGAGTGAGTGGGTCAGCAATATTCCATGACGTCAGCGGGTAGTGTGTAGGACAGGCGAAAATAATATTCTGTTTATTACCGAAGTCGTCAAATTCAGGAAAATAAACCAAAATATACTTTCAGACATAGGCTGGCTACCCACCGTCGTCGCTTGTAGAACGCAACGTCATAGAATAAACGTGGCGTCATAGCACATGACGTCACGTCACCATGAAAAGTGATATTTTGCCCCATATGAACCCCATATTTTCGCCCTCGTATGTAATAACATAACTATATCACCTTCAAGATGGCTAGTCTGACGTAAGGGTTCGGCCGATACCGCTATATTCAGATTACGGGAATTACGTCATTGTTAACTAGCGTGAAGATAAAGCAGCAATTACAGTGGAATGTCATAATCCCTCACTTGCGGACATTTTGTTATGGACATATGAAACCTGAATAACGATTATATGACGAAAAGGATACCTTTATGCGTAACAGACACAATAGCCAAAAACATTACCCGGGTATATGGAAGCTGGTTTAAATGTAAAACATAATGAGGAATATTAACGAGTTGTATTGACGTACTTTTGACATTGCGTCCGTGGTAACCTGACTGCAATTCGTTACAGGGATGAAATTCTGCAACGTCATCTTTACCTGTCATCAACCCTCAACGTCACGTTTTCCAACAGGACAACGCCAGACCGCACGTGGCTCGCATCACGATGGACTACCTGACGAATCAGAACATCACAGTTCTTCCCTGGCCTTCAAAATCCCCGATTTGAACCCAATAGAGCATTTGTGGGACCAGCTTGGGAAACGCGTTCGACGTCGTCAGCCTCAACCCCAAACGTTGCAACAACTGTCTCAAGCCTTGCAGGAGGAATGGAGGAGGATCCCCAAGCACGGATTCAAAGACTGATCATGTCCATGGACAGGAGGTGCCAAGCTGTGTTGCAAGCTCGAGGTGGTCACAACAGGTACTGACCTCCACGCCATCTGTACGCCCGGTGCAATGGTTTCAGAGACAAATGATAGCTGCATGTTGTAAAGCTGACTCTTGACAACATCCATGTGAAATTTTACGTTCGTGCGATCATTAGTTAAAGTTTTATTTGGAAACAAAATAAAGTGTTTACATTCCTGAGTTTTCACCTGTGCGTTTCTTTTTTTGCAGAGTAATATATACAGATTACATCAAATACAACTATTCTCTAAGTAGTCATAATTAGAGAGTTACAATTGTGCGTGAACAACAAGCTATTGTAGGAATATAAATCAATAATGAGAAGGTTGTTGAGTTAATTTAAGTATTTTCCTGAGAAAATGTGAAGCGTTGTGTCTTGATGATGTAATCGTGGACGAATTCAACTATTTTCTGCTGGTTTACACAAGAAGTAAATTCCTGTTTCCGTTCAAAATGGTATCCAGGTTATAACGGGTAATGTAAAATACATATAAGTTCTTATCAAGTGAGAAAATAGTGTAGGTCGTTTTCACTCTGATGTTGACAAGAGCAACATGGACTGTCTGTTAAATGTCTGTTATACTTATCGGCGTTTAGGTCGCTACATCCGAGCCTGAGGCAGCAATGAACGATTTGACAAAAACAAGATCCATAATTAAGGTCAATATAAATCTTGTTTTGGTTATTGTAATTAGGTTTTCAAATTCTGTGAGACTACATGACTCTTGGTAGGGCATTCCATAAATGTACTGTGTCGAGTAAAAAGGATTTGGCATAACAGGCAGTTCGACTGTAAATGCCTTGTATTTCAGAGTTATTTCTTAAAACTATAGCTTGTAGTTTCGGAGGCAGGGTAAATCTGACTAGGTAAATTAAAATTTCTTTCAAATGATCATGAAGTTACCTACACAAAGTGTTTAATTTTTAAAGACATTTACCGGAGCATGTTAATCAATTTATCTTATAAAGTTTCATTAAGTTACCTCCAAAAGATTCAGTTACAAAGCAAATCAGTAATTAGCTAGGGTTAATCCATTCTATCAGGCAGGGAGTATGGTGTGTTTTCTTTCTTTGTTAATTACCTACTCCACTGTCTCATAACTGGGAGTAGACCGATCCCGTTAGTCGCCTCTTATGACAAACATGGGTTACTGAAGATCAATTCCAATCTGAATCTTCACGGGTCCCTTTGCAAAATAACAATATAGTCGACATGGTAGCAGGTTAGTTTCAAACAGTTACACTATTTCTCTTCATCATATACATGATCGTATACTTAGCTGTTGGCTAATTTGTTGCGTTTCCACTTGTAATTGTTAAAATAGTGAAACAATATCAAGTGCTGAAGTGGAGCCAGGTCAATACCGCCATGTGTCACACACAGCGGTTTGTTCAGAGAGGTCGGATCAATTGTATAGGGAAATTATCGTCGTGACCTTTATCATATAGATATGAATTAAGTGTGTTACATTGCTGTAAGTGTGCTTTATGTAAATATTGTTGTTAGACGGTAATGGAAAGATAAATGTTGGATAATGTAACAAAGTAGGGAACGTGACAAGTGATTGCATGCGTAGAAGAGATATATTATATTAATGTATGTACTTGCTGTGGACCTGAAGCAAGCTGGGGTCGGTTGACCGACCGATGACCATGGTGAGTGAGTGAGTGAGTGGGTCAGCAATATTCCATGACGTCAGCGGGTAGTGTGTAGGACAGGCGAAAATAATATTCTGTTTATTACCGAAGTCGTCAAATTCAGGAAAATAAACCAAAATATACTTTCAGACATAGGCTGGCTACCCACCGTCGTCGCTTGTAGAACGCAACGTCATAGAATAAACGTGGCGTCATAGCATTGTTCATGACGTCACGTCACCATGAAAAAGTGATATTTTGCCCCATATGAACCCCATATTTTCGCCCTCGTATGTAATAACATAACTATATCACCTTCAAGATGGCTAGTCTGACGTAAGGGTTCGGCCGATACCGCTATATTCAGATTACGGGAATTACGTCATTGTTAACTAGCGTGAAGATAAGCAGCAATTACAGTGGAATGTCATAATCCCTCACTTGCGGACATTTTGTTATGGACATATGAAACCTGAATAACGATTATATGACGAAAAGGATACCTTTATGCGTAACAGACACAATAGCCAAAAACATTACCCGGGTATATGGAGAAGCTGGTTTAAATGTAAAACATAATGAGGAATATTAACGAGTTGTATTGACGTACTTTTGACATTGGATTATCACATATGACCCTCGTTTAACCATAACCACAACAACCAAAATGTACACAGTCGGAAGCGTTTACTTGTAATATGAAATTACTGTTTATTGGAACATCAGATTATAATCTAAAACGCTGAACAGGCTGACGTTAAACTTACCCATCCTTTTGATGATCCACTCACTCACTCACTCACTCACTCACTGTTCTGTCCACATTGGGAGAAGCGGCCCATAAATACGCTTCAACCAGGGAGATTATCCCTGCTTCAACAAGTGCTTGTCGAAATTTGTTTTTTCATTCAGATTCATTGATTGAGTAAAAAATCAATCATCTCCCTCCACGACACAAACCTGTACCTGGGTTCTTTTCACAAATCCGAGGCCGCCAGGTTTTCACCATTCCCTTATTAGCCTTTGGGGCGCAAGACTTCTTGTAGGTTACGGAAAGGGTCGAATAGTTACGAATACTGCCGAAAGGTCATTGGAGTTGTAAGTGTGGTAATAGGCTGAGAGTGTCGTATTTGTTTGTTGATCATTGACTGCGGCCTATAAGAGACCGGCCTACATGTACGGATTCTGCAATAGTTTAAAGTGTTTATGACATATAATCTGAAAACAACTTGTTTTAATTAAACCACAGGGTTATGACAATGGAATATCAACTACACACTCCGGCTCGGGGAATACAACCTTACAGTGAGGCCTGGATGGTAGGGAAAACAATATGGTTCTAGTCAGACTGGAGATTACATAACATGTGAACCGTGACCATGAACGCTTGTCAAAGCACAGCCTCATACATACAATCGATAGAACAACTCGATTTTTTGCGACGGCTAAACGATTCTCAAACATTGCTATAGCTGTCAATGTATAGTTTGTGAATAATGTTTTCGAGATCTAAGATACTAATATATGTGGTGCTGGGAATTCTGTTATCTGCGTTGACAATTATGCTCTTGGAATCTGGTAAGTGTGTACTTTGTTCTAGCTATAAATACCCTCATGTTTCCTACAGTTTATTTCTATAACCGTCTATAGAATATAGTGCACATGTAACCGTATACATTTACATGGTCGCGGGTTCGATCCCCGGCCGCGTCATATCAAAAGACGTTAAAATATGGTACTTGTTGGTCCCTGTCTGGCGCTCGGCATTGATGGGTACATCAAAAACTGGTCCGCTCGGAGTCGACCAGTAGTCGATTATAATGTGTCTGAGTGGGGTATTCATGCTTCACTGCGGCATGGAATCTCAGTGAGCTAGCACTATAAAACCAGCTTAAGTCTGGGCTAGCTACGGGTTCGGCTTCAAATGAAATTTAGAGACTTAACTATCGATTCGGTCTAACATTCATCTACTGTCCAAACACAGTACGTTTATCTCCTAGTGAATATGGTTTTACGCCGCTTTTAGCACAACCGCCCCGGAGATGTTAGGGCTGATGGCGATGTTTGACTAGAGTTTGTCAGTTGTTGGGCCAAGACGTTTCCGGTCACAATGTTCCCGTTGAACACATTACCACCCATCCCCACATCTTTCATTTGACACTAGTTAGGGGTGGTGGGGTAGCCTAGTGGTTGGAGCGTTTGCTCGTCAAGCCGAAGACCCGGGTTCGATTCTCCACATGGGTACAATGTGTGAAGCCCATTTCTGACGTCCCCCCGACGTGATATTGCAGGACTATTGTCAAAGGTGGTGTAAAACTAAACAAACTCGCTCAGTTCAGTTGATACTGCGGTTAGGAGATGGTAGATAGGACTCCTCTGTTTATCCAGAAAGTGAATCTGTACTCGTCTGAAAATATAACATCTGCGATTCTACAAGCAGAACAACATGTTGGGGTGTAGAGAAAGCGTGTCCAAAAGTTGCTGTGTTACAACACGTCGTCATTCGTCACCACTCGCCCCTTTCCGTACCCTCGGTATTCGGCTTGTCCCGGAATAACACGAGTTGCTCACGAATGCGATTTCTTGTGAACAGCGATTTGTTAGGCTATCTGGATTCAGTGTTTGTACTTAAACCTGAAAAGCTTCTGGCCCTACGGGCCCAGAACCATAAAAAGTTGTGGGTCCTGATCAGAATGTGTAGGCTCTATGTTTTAATATGGAAATACTTCTCTTAGTTATTGGGGATGAAACAGCTCTCAGCCATAAGGACCTGCAGAAAACAAAAGTTGTGGGTCCGAGTTGTTTTCAGTCGGCTTCTGGCCTAATTATATAAGGACCGACGTTAATGTCGAACGCTGTTTGGATTTGATTCTATAAAGCCTGATTTCGGTTTAATCTTCGAAGGTAGATGCAGTGATGCATGGACACCATAAAATCAATCGAGCTATCCGGTGCCATGTAAGTACTTTGCCCTTTACTCACCGACCCTGGAGAAATATTGAACGCATTGTATGTATATTCATCCTCATCCTCATCATGATGTCACGTGACAACCCCAGTACAACAAGTTTGACTCACAAGCCGTTATGTAATATGCAGCTGTATTTGTATATGTGCACAAAACACAAAGAGTTCGATATACCTTTGGAAGAATTTTGCAACATTGTCTAGCTTTTCTGTCCGAGGGGCGGTGGGGTAGCCTAGTGCTTAAAACGTTTGCTCGTCACGCCGAAGACCCGGGTTCGATTCCCTACACATTGGGTACAACGTGTGAAGCCAATTCCTGGTGTCCCCTGCCGTGATATTACTGGAATATTGCTAAAAGCGGCTTAAAACTAAACTCACTCACTGCTGTAGGATACGGAAAGGGTCGAATGGTTACGAAAGGACATTGGGGATGAAAGTGTGGCAGTGGTTGGAATACGCTAGAGTCGTGTATTTGTTGGTTGTTTACTACGGGGATGGGGGTGGGGGTGGTCGATCTCTCCTCATGAAAATCATCACACACACACACAATCGCAAGGACAATGTTATGCAACTCAACACTAAATGTGAGCAATCCACGGGTTATAGCTTAGTCTCTGAAAATATAACGTTTTGATAGAGACAAAGAACTCCATTTCAAGTGAGAAGGAACTCCAGTGAATTTGGAGACCGAGAACCGCAACCCAGCGACAGTCTAGACTTGCTCCAGTTCGTGCTTATTCATTACAGTGAGGCCTGGATGGTAGGGGAAACAATATGGTTCTGGGTCTGTAGGTCAGACTGGAGAACCGTGACCATGTACGCTTGTCAAAGCACAGCCTCATTAAAGATACATACAATCGATGGAACAACTTCATATTTTTCGCGACGGCTATCATGACTGTCAAACATTACTACAGCTGTCAATGTAAAGTTTGTTAATTATGTTTTCGAGATCTAAGAAACTAATATGTGTGGTGCTGGGAATTCTGTTATCTGCGTTGACAATTATGCTCTTGGAATCTGGTAAGTGTGTATTTTGTTCTAGCTATAAATACCCTCATGTTTCCTACAGTTTATTTCTTTAACCGTCTATAGAATATAGTGCACATGTAACCGTATACATTTACAAGGTCGCGGGTTGGATCCCCGGCCGCGTCATACCAAAAGACGTTAATATATGGTACTTGTTGGTCCCTGTCTGGCGCTCGGCATTAATGGGTACAAGATCGGACTGGTCGGCTCGGAGTCAGTGAAATGTGTCTGAGTGGGGTATTCATGCTTAACTGCGGCATGGTATCTCAGTGAGCTAGCACTATAAAACCAGCTTACGTCTGGGCTAGTACAAGCATCCACACATACATAATCTTAACTACGACGTTAAACCCCATTTCACCTCACCTCACAAGCTACAAAAAACATATGTAGATAATAACACATAAAACCCTCCCAGGGTCAGTGTAGCTAGGACGGAGGAGGGGGTCCATATATCTTTGTTTGTATTTTACCGTAATGGGTTTTATCGTTGTCCTCGACAGAATGTCCTGCTACATGTTTCAACCATTTGTTGGTCTTCCGTTGTTATCTTTTTTCGAAATGTAAAAACTGCTTTTTCGCGGAATATCTACGGTAATTCTGCTTTATTGCGCCTGGTCATAAGCTAACAAAGAGTTCTTTTTTCTGATGCTCTTTTCTTTGTAATTCTTTTCTGCCATTATCCCAAAGGGTGAGTGCAACAATATCGACAAACATGATGGGTGTGTATTGTAACGAGACAAACATGGTGGGCGTGTATTGTAACGAGACAAAGAGCCAGTACATAAGTGTGTATTGAACTAAGGTGAATTATCAATGGTGGGTCATATCTATGATTTGTCAAATGGTCGTGTGTAAGTATATGCACAACCATATTGAGGGACACTATTCTTGCACCGCCATTTCCAGTTCTCCGTCAGCTGACCGTGTCCCAGGTGTTGCTCTGTTGGGGAGAGGCTAGAGCTGATGGCGATGTTTGACTGGAGTCAGTCATTGATGGGGTCATGGTGGGTCCAAGGCGTTTCCGCAGTCACAATGTTCCCGTTGAACACATTGCCACCCATCCCCAGTTCCCCACATCTTTCATTTGACACTAGGTGGGGTAGCCTAGTGGTTGGAGCGTTTGCTCGTCAAGCCGAAGACCCGGGTACGATTCTCCACAAGGGTACAATGTGTGAAGCCCATTTCTGGCGTCCCCCGACGTGATATTGCAGGACTATTGCCAAAAGCGGTGTAAAACTAAACAAACTCATTCACTCAATTCAGTTGATACTGCGGTTCGCAGATGGTAGATAGGACTCCTCCAGATACGTCCATGTTTATCCTGAAAGTGAATCTGGACTCGTCTGAAAATATAACATGTGCGATTCTACGATCAGAACAACATATTGGGGTGTGGAGAAAGCGTGTCCAAAAGTTGCTGTGTTACAACACGACGTCATTCGCCACCACTCGCCCCTTTCCGTAACCTCGGTATTCGGCTTCTCCTGGAATAACATCAGTTGCTCACGAATGCGATTTCCTGATGCAAGTGAACAGCGATTTGTTTGGCTATCTCGATTCAGTGTTTGCACTTAAACCTGAAAAGCTGCTACGGGCCCCGAACCATAAAAAGTTGTGCGTCCTGATCAGAATGTGTAGGCCCTATATTTTAATATGGAAATACTTCTCTTAGTTATTGAGGATGAAAAAGCTCTCAGCCATAAGGACCTGCAGAAAACAAAAGCTGTGGGTCCGAGTTGGTATCAGTCAGTTTCTGGCCTAAGGACCGACGTTAATTTCGAACGCTGTTTGGGTTTGATTCTTTAAAGCCTGATTTCGGTTTAATCTGCGTTGTAGGATTTGATGTGTTTGCTGATCATTAAAGGTCATATGCAACAAAAAACAAAAACATAATTAAGGCACAATTATCACTTATTAATGACATATAATATACATTGCTTATTGTGAATAAAACAAATAAACAAAATTATAAGCGTACAATCGCGAATCAAAAGTGCAATATTTTGTACTTGGGTTTACTTCCCTCGAAACGAAGCACCCGGGAGACCAAACCCAGTCAGAGCGGGTGGGTGTGCACTCAAGTGTAACGAAGTCTCTCATTGCCTGGTTCATTTGCCGATACCCTGAGGGCTCATTGTGTGTATATATAGAGATGATCTGTTTGATTGGCATTTTAGAAGTATGGTGAGTAATAAGAAAGTAAGACTCATATACCGTTGTCAAGCGAGAGTGACAACGGTATAAGAATCCATAACGAATCGTCGCATCATATACAATAAAAGAAGTTGTTTTCCATAAAGAATGTGTATAGAGATGTTGGGTTTTGTAAATACGCGTTCTCTGCATTTGCGTTCGATCCAATCAATACTGAGATGGTGAACTACTGCGTGGCCGGAAACTGTCGTTCGTCCAAGTACAAAGCAGGACTTGAAACTGACAATCTGAGTTTGCACCGGTTTCCGTCCGATCCAGTCATCCGAGAAAAATGGATGCAGTTTGTTTGCAACCCACAGACATAATAACATGTCATGTGTACAAGTATCATACCTGCCTGTCTGTGTAATTACATGTGACAG